AGAAAGTGAGAAATGCAAAAGGTCACATTCGACAACGTAAAATACTCTGGACTTATATTTCGTCCTTGTAATCACTCGGTTATAATGCAGAGGTATATTGACATCTAATAAGTGTACATCAGCCATTTTGATGTGCCTACCACTGTTAAAACTAAATGGAAACACGTGATAGAAACCACACTTTAGGTTTTTTAATTACATATATATTGTTATCATGTTATTGCTTTTAAATGCAAAGTATTGGAATTTTTAGAAACCAGCCTAAGTGACTTAATTGGCAATGCAAAAAACTGGCCAGCAACAAGAACTGAGTTTTCGGACTCGTCGCCAAGTAGTAATGATGCTGGATAATTTTGTTGGGCTGAGGTTAGCATGACGCGTACATGATCTGTGGGGATGCTGGTTCCATGCAGTGTCCTTCTTTCATGCATCAGTTTGCCTGCAGCAACAATGGAATTTGCCGCCATATATGCAACAGGCGTTAACTCTAGAAAATATATCAAAATATGTCCAATTGCTTTTCAATCTGATCAAGCTTCTATCGTGTGGTTATGCGGAGTCGCAACGTTCTTTAAATACTTTATCTCTGGTGCATGCATGCAGCCTCCAGAACATAGCGAGAGAAGACATTTATATAATACATACCAGGTTGCTTTTGCAGATTTTGCTGCTGTAGTTGTTGCTGATACTGTGGTTCTTGTGTTAGTTGCTGCTGTACTTGTTGTTGCTGCTGTTGTTGTTGCTTCTTTGGCTGTAGTTGTTGCTGTGGTTGCTTCTGTGATTGTTGTTTTCGTGGTTGCTGTTGTGCTTGTCGCTGCTGTGGTTGTTTCTGCTGTGGTTGTTGTTTTTGTCTCTGTGCTTGTTGTGGCTGTGTTTGTTGTTGCTGTGGTTGTTGTTTCTGCTTCTGTGCTTGTTGCTGTGCTTGTTGTGGCTGTGTTTGCTGTTGCTGTGGTTGTTGTTGCTGCTTCTGTGCTTGTTGCCTCTGTTCTTGTTGCGGCTGTGTTTGCTGTTCCTGTGGTTGTTGTTGTTGTTTCTGTGCTTGTTGCGGCTGCCGTGGTTGGTGCTCACGTTGTTCTTGCTGTGTTGCCAACCGGGTTTGTTCCGCTTTCTCCTGCAACTTTTCTTGTTTGTAATCTGTATTACACACAGGAATTAACGTTTAATGTTTTAATTTACACGACGTACACTATGTGACTGCATGCGATGATGCCTTAGCATTTAACTTACATGTCTAGATTTTGCAAAACTGACAATTGGCTGTTTAGGCCAAATTAGGCAACCTCGGCCCTTTACATGCAGTGTTAAATGCATTTAATACAATTTAATGAAATTGCGCTAATCATATAACGTACCTTTCATAAATTTTCTAAATAACTTTATCACGATTTCCCCTCCCTCTGATGTTGGGATATTTTCTTTATTTCCAATAAAGGATACTCCAGCCCCTTCAGTTCCATAAAACGTAACCGTATCTCCACTGCCATGCTTATGGAACATTAAAATCACAGCTTCACAATCATTGTGGATATTTAAAATATCTGCCTAAAATAAGGAATTAAGAATATTTAACTAAGAGCTATAATTAATAGCTTTTTATAATTGTGAGTGTGTGTTTTGACATACAAAACAATATATTACTGAAACATTACACCTGTTGGAGCATTTATAATGTCCAAGTACAGTTGTATTTCAATTTTTGTTGGCAGGGTTTAAAATTGCGGCACTATCAGATCAGTAAGTTATTTCAACACTGAACTAGGGAAAACGTCCACTCCTAACATGTTTTTGTTCATTGACTCTAGCTGATCCATCACGGAAAGCACTGATAAAAAAGTCGGTACAAAAATGGCACATACCTCAAAAGGACTATGAAATAACCCCATTTTTAAAAAAATATTTTAAATCCTAGTTGGTAGAATTGAAGTTTTTATACATTTAAGCCATGATTGTAAATATCACAAATAGCATCAGAAAAGACTCGCAAACGCGCCTTCCAATCAAACGTTCTCAATCACAACCACGCTATTTATGCAATTAATATTTAAAAAACATACAGCAAACTCAATAAGTAAGTCTCATTGAATACAGGGCTACAGTAACTGCAATTTTACAGCAGTCTATTCAATTAACAGGTGGGATATAGTATGAATACTCTTTGCAACGGTTCTTCCACTGCACATACTGAGAAATATGAGTATTGGGGTATAATTAATGCATGTGTACACACATACACTGTATACAAAATTGGTTAATAAGTGGTACTTGGTTTCTAACCAATTAGAGTACAAAAGGTTTTCAAAAGCAACATGCTGAACTGGTTTCACTATAGATGTGAAGTCTCATTTCCTTACCCGCTTTTCCATCAACCCACGTTGGTGCGTTGGATTTGGATTGCTCATATTTATAATCGACTCCATATCCTTTTCTTTTTTCTTAAAAGGAAAGCCACAGTTCACACCAGCACAAACTTTCTTTCGTATTCCTTGCTCTGTTCCACAGCTAGAACATCTCTACAGGAAAAAAACATGTATATCGCTTACAAAACCTCTTCTATGGCCAGTGCAGCATGAGATTTGCTATACTGTTTATGTAGGTTATGGTGTTTAAGGTTTATGTTAAACCTGTCCTTCATGATTATCAGCTCTATGCACATAAAAAACAACATTACTGTTTACATTCGAAAGGTTGACACTTGATAGAAAAATAATATAAAAACATGATTCAGCTACTGTAGAAAAATGCAGCATATGAAATTATAAATCAGACTATATTTGCAACTGATTATTATGCATAAATATTTATGCACTGTACTCTTTCAGTGCTGGTAACATATAGCAGCTGAATTTACTAAATCAATCCATGAAAACATTCTATGTTTTTTTCTAGTGGCTTTCATTATAAAGAATTAAAGTACACTAAAATAAGTTATCCTAAGGATATGCATGTTAAAGCTTTAATGAATTATTCCAAAAAATTTCTACATTATACCAGGTGTAGAGAGTAGGAAGATATTACCAGGATACAAATATACACTACCAACCCTGGATATTACATGCTTCTGTGTTAGTATGTATATTTGTGCTTGTGTGTTTGCCAAATTTAAAAATGTTGCCAAATTGCTCATTTATTCTGCGCGCAACTCTTATAATTTCTGAAGTGCCAATAATTATACAGAGTTACATAGTCTTTATTCATACAAAGCGTTTAGACTAAAAGATCAGCAATTTTGGAGTACCAGGCCAATTAATCCAATCCAAACCCTACCCTTAATCCTAACATTAACACTATGGCCAGGTATTCTATAATTGTACCTACTGTTAGATGATGCCAGTGGCATCACCAGCATCGTGGGGGGGGTATATTCATATGGGGGGGGGACATATTCATATATTCTTGTTCACAGACCGTTAAAACAATCAATTTGAAAATAAATAATGTAAAACACGAATATATGAATATGTCCCCCTCACTTATCAAGCTGGCGATGCCACTGGATGATGTAGCTAACACATAGAAAAAGAACTTTGCCAAAATATTTTCTATAGCATGCATACCTTTCTAACCTTACTGTATATAATTATATATTCTAACCTTAAAGCCTTTCCTTAACTAAACAGATTTTGAATCTATAATGTGAAATGAATTAGATTATTAGAACATTGACCAGAATATATTTAAAAATTGGAATCAATTTGCATTAATTTTTTTCCATGAACCTTCTCACATCTTGACTGTAATATCATTTTCTAGAATGGACTTTATGATACTAACAGTGCTATTTTAGAGTATTTTTACTGGTGTTGATGCTAACATGTTGCTTGTGTACCAGCAACATAAATGTTGCAGGTCATCTACAATATAGATTGTTAAACACATTGCCATGTTAAAACATGCATATTTTACCCCTTAAAAATATTATTGATGTTTTCGTTCTCAGGAACATAACTAGCTGCCAGGAGGGGGATATATATTCATATAGTCATGTTCATATATATTCATATAATCATGTTCATGTAATATCCTCTCATTTATTCATATTTTGTTATGACATCCAGTTTCTTGGGGTGGGGAATTTGCCACTGATTAATGAACCTACTCATGGGTTTTTTCACTTGTTTTTGGCCCCCACTGTGGGCATTAGCACTATTTACTGTATTATTTTGCCCTAAAACATGAGGCTTGTGACAACTGGAAAGCCCTAGATGCTTTTAAGTTCAAACTAGTATAAAATGCAGACTGAATACTGTATGTATAGGCTGGTGTTTTACTTTTTTCCTGAGTAACCATTTGCATTTTGTATCACATAATTAAAAGTTGGGCAATGTCGCACCCAAAACGTTTAGCGCACCTAGGGTGTACTATACGCCAATTTTTGCACTGTGATTGGTCCCTAAATCTTTAATTTTCATTGTTTTTATTGACACATATTTGGCTACTTTTGTGACCTCATTGCTTACACTTGGGAAATGAATTGGGCACCTAAACCTAGGTTTTTTCTGGTTTTTGCAATCTGTTTTCCACACCCAAGATCCCCTCGAAAACTGCCTAACTCTGCAGTCTGGTATTAAAATGGATACAACAATACATTGCTAACTGATTTCAAAATAATACAAGTATTAAAGTATAAACATCCTTGCTGATTTTTTTATTAACTACGGTAAATGCTAACGTTACCTTTGTATTAAAATATACAGTTTGTTCTATGTGGAAACTGGAAAGTATATTAAAATTTAAATGAATAAAATCCGAATTATTTGTGTCTGTGAAATGACTGAAATCTGGAGCAAATACTCGTTTTTATAAACATTAGACAGAATGGCCCAAAAGACAACCAAAATAGAAAAGAGAGGTAGTAAATTTATTTAAGTGATCGAACCGGTAAAAATTTACAATCGATGCAAATTGCTAAACCATTACCATAAATCAATATTCATAAACTTACCAGAACGTTTTTGTTTTTCCGCCATCTTGATTCTTGATAGAGAGTGTGCGTCGGTCGGCGTTAGATCATATCGAACTAACGTACATGACGTCATAAATTTAAGAGCACAGGAAGTGCAAAACCGGAAGTCAGTCTATAATGGCGGGGAAAGCGGGGGATTTAAATTTTTTGCGGGAATTAGGAAATAGCGATAAATACGACGCATTATATTAGTATAAACAAGAATTGTTAGAATGGAAGAAGAAAAGTTACTTCTGTTTTCGACGAAAGATGAATTGCTGAATGCGTTTGAGGAATTTAAAAGAGATACTTGTAGCGGATGGCGATGTGTGGGAAAAGAGAAGAATTTTGGTAAGTTGACTATGCTTGAATAATTCATAAGAAATTTAGATAAGGTGTTTCACTAAGTTATGCATTCAGTTGCTAGTCTTAAGGCGGATTTCCACTTACAGCGAAATCGTTCGCTAGCGAAATATTTACATATTTTCTTTTGAATTTAAACAGCATAAATAAATTAGTGCGACTTGAGTGTTCTCAATTCAAAAGAAAATATGCAAATATTTCGCCAGCGAACGATTTCGCTGTAAGTGGAAATCCGCCTTTAATAGTCTATTGATCACATTTCCCAGTTTAGTATGATATTATCAATGATAAACTGTTGACTATGCATTGCATAAATGCTCAGACGACGGTCTTTGCACGGGCAATTTATGTAACTGAAAACATCTTCTAGACATGGATGTAAACGAAATTATCAAAGCTGCAAAGGATACTTCAAGGATCAAATGGTCAATATCCGCTAGGAATGAGGGAGTAGCATTTGAATTTGATGGTGTGCCAATTATGTCTGCTGGTACTGTCAGATTTCATTGTCACCAGGGTGTTGATATAGATTTAGTCCAGAAAAATAAGAGGAAACAAAAGAAAGATGAAATGCAGGTGCTTATTTTTGCGCCAGTGTATTTCAATAGTACTAAGAAAGGTCACTGTATGTCAGTGGTACGATTAACATGTGGTCATATGGACTATAGAGGGTGTGAAAAGGTTTCTCAATTTGCCTGTCTTGGTTGGCTCTCTATTCTCCTGAGTAAGTTGGGTGTTAGCTACCAACCTATTCCAAGAATTGCCAGAAAGGATGCATTTTCCTATTTTATATAATTTCACCTCATCCTATGTCAGGAGCCTCTATAGCTACATGCAGGATGCACGGCAGGCTGTGCTTTCTTTATCAAGTTGTCTCTTCATTAACAGAGCATCTCGAGAATTAAACAATACAATACAAGTTAATATGTGTATTTCATTAAAGGAACAAGACCATGTATTTTTGAAAAGGAGAACATTAATACAACCATCAAAAAAATTAGGTTGTCCTAGCAAAGTGTATTTCTCAAGGATTCTGAAATTTCCAGATTACAAGGTATACCAGGATAATTTTAAAGGAGGGGTAGAGGACAATTGCCACATAAAACAAGGGTGCATTTTCCCCCTCCACTTGCCTCATAATTTATCATCTAGCATACTACATTTCCTTAGAATTATTAACTGGCCCATATGCAATGGTACTTAAAATAATTAAAACAGTTTAGTTTGGCTAGTATTAGACAAAAGTGGCCAAGTGGGAGAGGCCCCCTAATAAAGAAAAATCCTAAAATTTGGGAAATGCTCTCACCCAACCCTGTTCACCCATTTCCTTTCTTTCATCCCCCAAGCCTAAAATACCCATGATCTGAGTAAAGCTGTTAAGAGTAATCTGGGGTTGCTGGATGGTCTGCCACAGGGGCAGAAGAGCATGACATGCCCCCCCCCCCAGTTCCACTGCCCCTGTGACAGTTTTCTAATTTAACAAAAATAGGTCCAGGTGGGTCCTAATGGTAAAAAGCCTGATAGGCAGATGAGATCAATGGCATCATCCTTGAAAGCAAACATTCAAGATAGAAAAGTAAAAACAATTGTTTAGCAATTTGCCCTCAAATTACCAGGAAAGAACAGCCATCAGTACCATGCTATTGAAGGAGAAGTAAGTTCAATAGGTTACATTAAATAACTTTATAATTACAATTAAGCATAGCCACATGGATAGGCCAAAAGAAACAGCCTTAGGAGGAGAGAAAGAAATCATTAACAACTGCATTGATCATCAAACTACATCACACATACAGTTCTTCCTTCACTAATATTATCATATTTTTCATTGGTTTAAACAAACTTTTGTGGCACCTGAAACCTTGGTCAGATCTCTACTACTCAGATATGACTAATTAGTCATACTTTCATGTCTTCTCGGGTAAGGATGTTAAAACCTAGCCCCCCTCGGTTTTCCAGTCAACTGGGCAGCAAGTCTATGGGATTGAAATGGTGCACCACAAAATGCGGAACTGAATAAATTGAACTATAAATTAAAGTAACCGTTTAGCGCGTCAAATTTTTATTTTCTTCTCCTCAACATTATTGCGTCATGATTTTAGAGTGCCAATCTTCGCGAACCAATCGATGATACCATTATGAAGAAGATTCGACAATTGCATCAGGTCGGAGTTAAAAATGTTGCTGAAGTCCAACGACACGTCAAGGACTATGTTCAAAATGAATTGTTTCGAGGTGACCAACCACCTTCTCCATCCCGCAGAAGATATTACCCAACAACCGAGGATATACGCAACATATTAAATACGCAACGTACAGGTGCTTGGCAAGCGAACGATGATCAAGAAAATCTTGGCATCTATTGTGAAAAATGGCAAGAAAATAACATAAACGACTCGATATTCTACAGGGTAAAATAGAAATCAAACAACTTATTTACACTTGAACACTATAGCTAGTTGTGGATTACCGGCAGCAAACACCTGTATACTTCTATTAATACGCCAAAAGTAAAAAAAATTCTGTTCGTCATTAAAATTGAACAGAAGTTTACCATTTGAAAATGTTTCTCCTGTGTGAACTTTTGATACAAAAAATGCTTTATAAAACTGCATGATCTTTCAAGTAAATTTTATAAGCCTGCAGGTAATGCATAAATAGAAAAAGTGTTGACTCCACACTTCTGAAGTTGGCATTTTGTTATTCATATGATAACATATAGCGCTCCAGAATATACAGTATACTTTCACGTCTTAATTTGTTGTTTTTTATATGGTAGCCATCAATAAAAGACAAGGATAAATTTTTATTCATATACCGATCTGCGTGGATGAAAAGGTTGCTTCTGCTGTATGGTCAAGAGATGTGCCTTTTAGATGCGACTTATCGAGTGTGCAGGTAAGTCTAGCAATAAGTGTAATCGGTTAATGCTTCGAATATTTACTCACTCTTTACGTTCCTATGTAAATTTCGCAGGTATGCAGTTCCACTGTTTTTTATTTGTGTTCGTGGAAATGTTGGCTACATTGTCGTGGCGGTGTTCATACCGGAAAATGAAGATACAGAGTCATTGGAAGAAGTGCTGGAAAAAATAAAATTGTTCAACCCAGGATGGAATCCAAGGAATTTTTTAGTTGATTTTTCAATGGCTGAGATTGCTGCAATTGAAAAAACACTGCCACGTTAGTTTCTTAATTGTTTTTTACGTATTCACTAAGGTGTACAATGCTAACCATAAACTAATGGACGCTTTTATAGTAAATTAGTTACTGTTACTGTAGAGACTTTACTACTACTGTGTAATTCATTTGAACTTTGAAATGTGAACAAATTACTGCACTCTTATTACTGCAGTTGCAATAAAATTTAATATTTTTTTCAGATTGCAAAATCCATTTATGTGACTTCCATCGAGAAAAGGCTTGGAACGAATGGTTGTCGAAGGGAGATCATGGTTTGTCAAGTCACAAGGAGGAAATACTGGTGTACTTGCGAAGCATAGCCACCAGTGCGAATAAACAGATGCTTGAGAAGAATATCAACATTTTCAAGAATAGTGAAATCTGGAAGCAATCACGTCGTTTACAAAAATATTTCACTGAGCACTGGCAACAACATATCGAGGTATTCATGTAATTTGAACAAAGGTATAAATATAAAGTGTGTTGTTGTGGGTTAAACGTAATAACGTCGTCGATACACAGCCGAAAAGCTGAGGGCAATGAGACAAAGTGAAATCGTGTTTAGTAGGACTAATCCGAGGTTTCCGCATCGATCCATTCGAAAGACGACGTTGTTTTTTTTTTAAAATTAGAAATGGGTGAGATTTTACCACGACACATCCCTGCGAATTGCCATATATACCAACAACGGCATTGAAAGACAGAATTGTTGGCTCAAGTCATCAAGCCAAATATATAATGCAAAACTAAAAATTTTATGCCAGGTACAAAGAACTTAATTTGCGATCCTCAGAAATGCACAGAAGATATGATGAAAAGGTCCCAAACTTCCTACGCAATCGTCCAAAAGATGTTGTTCAGCATATAATGAATAGATCCTATCCACCGTATCCCAGTAGCTACATCCAGCCTTGTGGCAATGGCCTCTTCATGGTTAAAAGCTCCACCGCTGATGAGAAATACCAGGTTTGGCTTGGTTCAGAAACGCAGCTACCAAGTTGCCAGTGTTTCGATTACAAGAGAAACAAGCTCCCGTGCAAGCACATATGTGCAGTAGTTAATCTCCCTGATGTCGGATGGGAATCTGTTGGCGCTAGTTTCAGAAACTATCCTCTATTTAGATTAGATCCTATTGTTGTACCAAGCATTTCATTCGGTAATGAAAAATGTGAAAGTAATGCTTTGCCTGAAGACGACAAAATTTTGCATGAATCATCCGACAACTTGCCCACAACGCCGCCAGAAAACAATTGTAAAAACGACAGTGAAGCCAAGTTCAACCCATTAAAACGAAGGAGACAAAGTTCAATGCTAAGTAACGGTAGAAATAAGTGTGTTTCAACAGTAAAGGCATTGCATGACGAGCTGTATATGATAACAGACCGTGGCGTATTAGCTACCATAAATGACATGATGACAAAGGCGTTGACTTATGCAAGGCAGAATCACCCAGCCGAAAACAAATTACCTTTAAAGGACAAGTCTTTATCGCCCAGAAAGAAAAAATCTAAAGTAAAGAAATACCCACATCCACGTTCAAAAACTAACTTGTCGCTACGGGCTGAGAGGAAATGAAAAAAGAAGCGATTGGGTGTTGCAGCTGACAAACGAGAAAAGGCATCAAATATAACCATCACTGAAAATTTTAAGGAGGATACCAAAGAAGTGCATGTCATAGATGAACAACTGGATGACAAGACACCAGCATGGATAACAGTCGAGGGCATTACACTGACAAAGCAGCTGGAGGAAATCATATTGGATCCAAATGGCTGGTTAACAGATGATCACATGGATGCAGCAACACGTTTACTCAAATCAAATGGAGCTAATGTGGCTGGTCTAAATGATATAGTTGTCATGACCCACTTCAAGAAAGCTAAAGTCGCTGTAGCTAACAAGAATGGTCAGACAATTTAGTGTCACAACATTGGGGGACACTGGGTTGTTTCAACATCCAAAGATGGGAAAGTAATAGTGTATGATACTTTGAAAATTGGACTGAACAACACTCTGGTCCAACAGCTAATGCACTTGTACAGAGAATGCGCTGACAACAGAAGCCTCACAGTAACTGTCATCCTGCAGCAGCTTCAAAAAGGCATGAATGACTGTGGCCTATTTTCTATTGCAAATGCCACATCACTGGTTTATGGAGTAGATCCAGCTTCCTTAGTATGGGATCAAATCAAAATGAGAGTCCATCTTCATGAATGTTTTGTAAATAAAAAAATGGCCATGTTTCCACATACAAAAAACAACCAAGGGAACCAATTTAAAAGCTATAAACTAGGTTTCTAATTAACTGAACAGGACAATTGGATAACCTCAACCAAAACAATGATAGAAAACCAAGCCACTTCAAACACTCAATGTTAATGGTATACACACACATGGTATACCATCTATATATATATATATCATCTATATATAAATATAAAATATAAACCATAACCCCAAAATCTAACCTAAACTGTATGTATTCAACAAAATTTGGTGAGAGCAACAACATACAGACATGTAACCCAATGCATGACTCACTGGTTTGGTATTCTATAATTGTACCTAAGTTAGTTAGAGTCCTAAATTGATTAAATAGTATTAAATATGACTTTTACAGCATAGGACATTTCAGTTCCTATTAGATTCCTAGATGGTCAAGGCATATGCTACTGCTACCAACTGTATAGTGTATATAAACTGTAAAAAACTATTTATATAGTTACACAGAACTTTGTCATACATGTATTATAATACTAGTAATTTGTAAATTTAGTAATTTGTTTATATCAGATTTAATGGTCAAATACACCTACCCCATAATATTAAAAGATGAAAGTTCTATATGAAAATGAAGAATATATATGTTATATAACTTATATTCAAGTATTTATCGAACGTACCTGACGTCCTCCTGCAGCCCTGCATTAAAGTATACTGGTCGAAAAAATTCACAATGTGGTAATCCACGTCGTTCAACTAAGATCGATAATTAAGGTAAAGCCAGAGATACTATTACATAAGTATATGATCACTCCTATACTGGGTATGAGGGTAACAGACATTTACACTTTCGTGTACATTTATAAATGTATAAATGTATCATCATAAGACATCATTCATCGCCATTTTTATTTTATCATTTTTATGAACCAGCTCTAGAAAGACTTCATGTAAGACTTCTGTTATTATACTTCCGTTATTGCAAAATTTATGACGTCATGTACGTTAGTTCGATATGATCTAACGCCGACCGTGTGCGTCACTCGTCCCAGGATGTTGAAAGATCTACACGGTCGGTGCTGCGAATTTATTATATTAGTCAATTTAGTGCCATTTGACATTTTATCAATATAGTAAATTCGGTCAGGAGCTCATGTTGGAATGCTAAAGGAATTTCTACGGAATCGTAAAGAAATTCCTATAGAACCCAAAACGAATTCCTATTGAATTCTAAAGTATATCCTACAGGAATTCCTGTGGAATCCCATGTTAATTCTTATAGAATCCTAAAGAAATATTTTGCAAATGTCCGGAATTTACCAATGGCACAAATATAAATAATAATAATGAGGATATTTTCTTCTAATGTTAACAATAATTTAATGTTGGGCCTGTCCATGCAGGCCTGTCCTTTTTTCTACAATACTGACATGGATGTACATTACATATATAAGCCTAATAAGGCCTCGTTTACACTATACTGGAATGTTATAGGAGTGGGTTACATCTAGGTATTGATGGACTGTCAGGATTTTTAATGTCAAAGACTGAAAAAATTATGGCAAATCTGTCAAGCTTACATATGCATTTGCTACTATAATCATTAATTGCTTCTTTAACGGCAAACGAAAATTTCGTGATGCGAGGCGAATCCGGTATAGTGTAAATAGGGGCTAATTTAAATCAACAGATAATTTAAAATAGAGCAATAGGATTTAAATAAATACTGGTACATATAATATATATTACCTATATATGGGTCGTATAAATAAACGTTTCATATATTATACTTAATCATTTTTTTGTTCAACAATTTTTTGTTGTTTGCAGCACTTGATAATATTGTTTATTGCTGCCGTGCACCAGCACGGCAGCACACTATTCTTGACATTGGACGTATATATAGTCGAAATCTCGATTTTTTGTCTGTTTTTCTGTCTGTCACAGATTTCCGGGGGTTTTTTTTACGGAATGAGTGCGTTTTTAATATTTCACCCATATGCTGATAGGAATCGGAAGAGAATTTTTTAAATAGGCCTTTCAATACGGCTGATTTACATCAAAGTACTGAACATTTTTGTGTTCAATATGGAGGTAAGCAACAAGGCTGTTTATTCGAGCGAAAATAAGCCGCTGCTTATTTAAATCGCGAACAGCGCGTTTATTTGGGATATTGTTTATATTATTTCAAATTGGTCGCATGCAAACACTCGTATAAACGACTCAAATTTGCGGTCGCAAGTCCCGGCGGCCAAGACAGTTTTTGCAGTGTAAATTGATGCTGAACACCAATGTTTGCCGCGGCTTATTTTGGACGAGCTCTACTATAAAAGGTTGGGTTTATTTAGGCTGCGATTTATTTTCGCTCGTATAAATGGCCCTAATGCATAGATTGATAAAAAACAATCAACTTATTGCGACAAAAATAATGTAATTAACAGCTCTAAGTAGTGGCCTAGTTGTTCTAGACTCAAGTGTTGATCTATTCTCTTTCTCTGTCGACAATGATTGTGATATAGCCTATACAAAATGATTCAGTTGTACATCAGGACAGAGGAATAAAATTATGCGGAGACATTACATGTTTTTCACTATTTGTTTGAGGCATACCACATTTGGAATGTGCTTGTAATAATTACTATATGGTTTCATCCTTTTGTTTGTGCATATAGCACCAAATGTAATTTTATTTAAGTTTGATAAATTGTTGCAAAAGTGCTTAGCACTAAGCATGTGTTGTTTTGATTTTCAATCAATGGTAACAATTAAATATACTATAGCTACTTTTGTCTACTCTGTTACTTTGTTTAACATCAGGGTAGACCTGGACCTAGAGCTGCTCCCGATTAATCGATTGATCGATTAATCGATTATTTTTCCACAATCGATTATGCTTAACAGTAATCAGATAATCGGATCATCTATAACACCACACAGCGTGATGCGGGAATTAGTTAATTTCTTTCCGGATTAAAAATATTGCGACAAGATTGTGATCAAATGACAAACATTAATGGCCCACACAGACAGGACGCGAATTGGCAACGCGGCGCGAATTTTCAACGTTTTTAATTTTTCAAAATCAAATAAATTTTAACCTATCATAATATTCTTGTAGATTACATAACAATAAAACATTTTGACTGCTCTAGCGTCCATAGTTTCCAAATTTTGCGTCCAGTATTTAATTTATATGCTTCTGAAAACTCAAAATTCGCGTCGCTTTGCCGCTTCGCGTCCGGTCTGTGTCGACCTTAAGGCAAATATCAAATTCAATCGCAGCGTGAGAGAAAGGTTTCCTTTTTTTTCGCACGTTTGTAAGCAACGTTGTAAGGTAATAAAGAATAAAGTTATGATGCTGATGTTACGTTCAATCAAGTTTTGAAATACAACTGTATTCTTTATTCAGTAATGCCACAGCCCACAGGTATAATACTTGCTTACAAACGTGCGAAAAAATCGGGAAGCCTTTCAAGTGCATGCCATGCCCATGAGCAAAACATGTTTGTTATTGTTAGCTAACTTAACCGCCCAAACGTCAGTTTCATTGCTCAAACATGACACCTGGCGTGGTGAAACAAACGTTTTGAAACGTGAATAAGGTTTTAAAATCCGCATGCTGCAAGGTTGGACGCAAGTTTTAATCAAGTTAGAGTCTTAGAGAGGCATTCACCTTGCGCTTTGTCGCACAGTTTTCTGTTTTTTCGTCATGTCTAAAAGCCGAAGTGACGTCTGGGATCATTTTGTTGCCGAGAATCAAACATCAGCAAAATGCAAGCACTGCGATGCAACAATTCGCCGACATGGCAATACAACAAATCTTCGAAAACACCTTATTAGACGCCACTCGAATGTTTACCAACCAACCGCATCAACTAGCGCTGGCAGTTCATCGATAACGAGCTTTTTTCAAAAGAAGATTGACCCATCAGGAGACAAAGCAAAAGAGATCACTGCGCATATTGCCAACGTCTGTGTTAAAGATTTGCGTCCATTTAGTATTGTTAAAGATGCTGGGTTCCGTGCTCTCATTAAGCATGCATGGCCAACCTATCAAATTCCAAAACGAGAAACGATCCGCCAACTGATCATGCTTCGGCACACTGCAGGCATAAAAGCATTAAAGAGCGAACTGGAAAGATTGAAATCAGACGTCTCTATTACAACTGACGGCTGGACTAGTATGGCTCAGGATAGTTACTGCACAATTACCGGTAAGTCACAGATTTAAATTGACAGTTTCTTCCTAAGTTAACTTTCAATCTACACCTGTTTTCATGTTTTGCTCTGCTAATTTATATCTTATTTTAATATTTTTTATAGTGCACTTTCTTCGTGAATGGGAAATGACATGCAAAGTCCTCGCGACAAGAGCAAGCCTTGATCGTCATACCGGGGTGAATTTAGCTGTTGAGGTGAACGAGACGATGAAAGAATTTGGCCTTGAAGATCATGTGTTTGCCTGTATTCACGATAACGCTGCAAATGTTAATCTCGCCGGCCAAATGATCAATGGCACAAAAGAGAGACCGATAGCCTTCAATATCGGCTGTGCGGCGCATAGTCTGAATTTATCGATCGGAGATGCAATGAAGAAAGGGGTTGACCAGCCCTTTGAAAAGATGGTTGCTGCAGCCAGGAGGCTAGTGGGGCACTTTAAAATGTCCAGTCTGGCAACAAATGGTCTTCGTGCTAAAGTGAAAGAGATGATGGCGTCTGAACATCATGGCAAGGGATTGATTCAGGACGTGTCTACCAGGTGGAACTCAACATTTTACATGTTGGAGCGTCTGTCGCTGTTGCGTTGGCCAGTCGTTGCGGTGTTGTCTGATCAATCTCTGACCAAGCCACAAGAAGCAAGGGTCCTAGATATGCCCGTTGAATCTTGGAAACTTGCTGAGGAAGTAGTTCCAGTTCTTAGGAAGGTGGAGCTGGCTACTGTTCTTTTTAGCTCGCAGTCCAAAACAACATCCGGTGTTGTCCTGCCTGCTATTACCGGTTTAGTTCATCAATTGAAAGCCATGACGTTCGAGCGTGCGGTAACCGATGGCCGACGGCGAGCAACCACTCCGCCAGGTCAGAATTTTAGGGATACCCTGGTCCAGTCGCTGACTGACAGATTCTTTCTCGACCAATTGGATGTTACCGGTGAACAAACAGACACCTGTGAAACGGTTCCATTTTATCTGTTGGCTTCATTCATGGATCCCAGGTTTCGTGATCTGTCATTTCTGAGCGAAACCGAGCGGAGTGCATTAGTGGAGTTTGCGTCAAAGACCCTGAAAGCCATGCCATCATCACCTGCAAGCAGCGATGTTGCTGCTGCCACTTCATTGGAACCGGAGATCTTGCCACCGCCAAAGAAAAAGTCCAAGTCAGAGGTAGCCATGGAAGAGTTGCTTGGTAAAGGAAAATCGTTGAACAGCTCTGGGGAATCCACCTGCGAAGTAGAATCTCGCGCGGAAAAGAACCAAAGGATTGATAAGGAGATTCAGCAGCTCAGCAACGAGGCACCAATTGGTTTGACGGAAGATCCGTTAATGTGGTGGAAAGAAAACGAGAAACGATACCCTCTCGTACGGAACCTTGCCGCCAGAGTGTTAGCAGCTCCGCCGACGTCTGTGCCAAGCGAGCAGATTTTCAGCAAGGCTGGACTTGTCGTCTCAAAGAAACGTGCCGCACTTAAGCCAGCCGTTGTAGACGCACTTTTATTTTTAAACAAAAATAACATGTAGACTCTGGGTGAGAGTCACGTTTTCAATTAACTGCATTAGAATTTAGACAGTTTACATACATTGTATTTGTTACGTTCTTTAGTTTTTGACTTTTTGTTCACTTGAAAAATTATTGTAGAGTGATAATATTATTCTTAAAACATCTTGTTTTCAATTTGACAGTTTTGTTAAACAGATAGGTAATAAGGGACTATGATTACGAATACGTCTTAGTTAATTAAACCTGTCATAATTCATAAACAATTAAACATCCTTAATATCGTCTCTGTCTTTTCATGCATGTCTCTTGTGTGAAGCGTAAGAGCGCGAGAAAGTGCGCAATCGGCAATCTATAAGTATAATTGTGATTAACGTTCATTTTAAACGCAGATTTAAAACGTTTATAGTGACTGGTGCAACCCCCAAAAATTTAGCAAAAACGTTAATGACAAACCACCATGTCATATTTAAATTAATTATCAATACGATTAATCGATATTAATCGATTGTTGACAACGATTAATCGATTATGAAAATTAACCGATGGGAGCAGCTCTACCTGGACCCAGTGGTATAAAGAACAGTTATGTATAAGTATAGTTAGGAAAGAAATTAGCTAAAAAGAAATGTATAGATTGATCAAAAACAACTTTGAATGTCTTACTGCAACTAAAATAATGTAATTAACAGCTCTAAATAGTGGCCTAATTGTTCTAAATCCAGGTGTTGATCTATTATCTTTTTCTAGCTGTGGACAATGATTGTGATATAGCCTGTACAAAATAAAATTATTAACAATAATGAAAATGTTTCAGTTGTACATCAGGGCAGAGGTATAAAATTATGCTGATCAAGACATTACATGTTTTTCACTATTAGTTTGAGGCATACCACATTTGGAATCCATTGCATGTAATAATTTCTATATCATTTTATCCTTTTGTATATGCATATAGTACCAAATATAATTTTATTTTAATTTAATAACATGTTGCAAAAGTGCTTAGCATGTGTTGTTTTGATTTTCAATTAATGGTAACGATACTATAGCTACTTTTGTCTACTTTGTTACTTTGTTTAAAATCAGAAAGGTAGAGTCGAAGCCAGTGGTATAAAGAACAGTTATGTATAAGTATAGTTATGAAAGAAATTAGCTAAAAAGAATTGTGAATTTTGGAGTTACTACAATTTAGAAGTTAAAAGTTTTACACAAATGACCCCAGGATTGGTCCAATGGAGACAACCAAAGTGTGGACATAATAAAAAATAAACATGTATTTCAGTTCGTATTGAAAACAGAACAGCTATATTCCAACAGCACAAATTATTTTTTACCCCAAGTAAAACAACCTGAACTAAAAGAAGAAAATCTGAATTCTATGTAATTGAATAATACTTGAAGCCTGATGACAAACAGTTATATGCTAATGATTGTTGTTAAAATAAAAGTAAAAACCTCTTAACAAATCCCACTAGCTAGAAACTGTTTTTTTCTATAGTACAAATTATTTTCTACCCCAGCTAAAACAACAAGAACAAAATCTGAATTCTACATATAATCCAATTTAATTCCAAGCAGGATACAACTTGAAGCCTGATGACAAACCGTCATCTGCCAAAGGTTAAATTGTTGTTGAAGCAACCTCTAAACAAATCCCACTTGAAACTAAATTGAATATATGTATATGCTGTTATTCTGGCAATCAGTAGAGTACATGATAAAATATTTAAGTTTTGAAACTGATCTAGTTAAAAACATTCCAAGTTTAAAGCGGTGAAATCCTTTAAATACAACTTAAATTTCGGCTGTAAACTGCAAGCCTTCATGAGAGCAATCATGTAAATAAAAACAATTCAACATGATTCATGTTGAATTGTTTTTATAACGCTTGTTGGTCTAGTTGACTTGATTAAGGCTGCTTTTGCACGGTCAAATACTCTTTGTCTTTGACAAATTTCTCATCTTGATGCATGTGATTGAGCGTATTCAAGTTCAAAACAATATGGTTGCTCAGTAAAGCGAATTATAAAATACATTCATAACTAATCTACTTTACATACAACAGGAGAAAAATTTGACAAGGGAATTTTGTCGTGTAAAAGCAACCAAAAGGCAAATAACAGGATGAAATTCAGCATGTTCAGTAACAGTGTCTTTGTTAATCATCGATCCTTGTTTGTACAAAATTCTCTATGCGCATGGCAGCACTCCCCTTGCGATAGTAACTTCTAGTCTTAATATTTATGTACTTACTGCAAAGACTATCCACTTTCTCAGCATCAAGTTGGGGCTTTGCTTCTCTTTCTTTATGTGCATTGGACTTCCGGCCAGTTACAGAATGTGTGCACAGCACCTCCCATGACCAAATTAATGGAAGTGCTGAATAAACAAAATCTTTGGCAGATAAGATTTGACTAGATAAGACACTCTTTTGCCCTTTGTTTATTTCTACACTCGGACAAAGCAGGATCTAAATGAAAGCAATAAATGATAAATATAATTTCACTAACAGTGGTGCCATTACAAATGCTACCAGGAAAGCTGAACTATAAAGACAATTACTAGAGGCATCAGATCTATAAGGAAAGAAAATATTCAAAAGTCAAAACAGGAAATCAAAATCATGCTAGATTACTGACGGTAGAGTGTAGAATGTGGATATTATGATGTGTATAAATAATTATAAATATGTTCAATTATGAATATGTTCATATCATATAAATATTCATTCATATGAACATATTTATATGTGTGGTTTACTCATGTACATTCCATAAAGTTTTGAGATGTGAATTCTAAAATCAAAATTTTGGCTCAGAGCATGGCTGCTGTCATAAATATTATCCAACAGCTGTTGGCTTGAATACAGAGGTCGAATGTCGCATAAAAAACGCAAATAAAGGTCATTTAGACACTCTAAATTGTTCTTCGCAAACGCAGACCGGACTGTCTTGTACAAATTACTACAAGACGATGAAGACATTGTGAAATATCACAATAGAACAAACCAAACGCGAAAAAGAAGAAGCTAACTTCGAAATTTACTCCTTCGATGCCCAGAAGAGATCAAAAGAGGCAGTCTCCACTCTTTGCCTAACATGACTGACACAGGCAAGCACAGTGATTGGTTCAACTCGCCCAAGTTAGGCAAAAATTAAAAGCCAATGAAAGAATAGAATTCTAAAGAATTATCCAATCAGAAGGCTTACAGATTATGTCAACTTAGGCAAAAAACCTATTAGCCAATCAAAAGGCTGTATCGACTGCCAGACGTAGGAAAAATAGCTGCCTCTCATTGGCTTGCCTAAATACTGATGAGCTATATAGCTATACATAACTGGAGTTTACTGGACTGTGATGTAAGAAAAATAAACCGACGTGTTTCTACTAATGAATAATTTCTAATTATGAAAATTGAATAATAATCATCTGGGATATATTACCCTAGTCATTTGACTATGTTGCCTACCCCTAGATCCGCACCTGATGATGTCCTAAAAGCTAGCACAAACGATAGTTCGAGTAGTCCAACCAAAAGAAAACATAAAGGTAAACTTGAAACCAAACCTGTTTTTCAAAAGAGTCTTCAAATGTCCAAATGGCTCAATAACAATCACTTCACAACATGTACCCATATGGTGGTTTTAATTTCATTCAACATGATTCCCAACAAGCTACCACTCATGATGGTACCACCCTTACAGGGCTGAACACACCTACATCAAATCAGCAGAGCCAACACTGATATGAACATAGTTAAGTTAAGTGAAAAACAGCAAAACAATCACAAAAGGTTTTATTTTGTTTGTTTTGGATGTGGCTTCACTGTATCACAAAACTGAATTAATGATGTTAAGTACAATTAGTTGACATTATTGCAGTTAATTTTGCATGCTGGATGCAGCAAGACAGTTACTACTCAGTTTTAATATTTGAACAATATAGCTTAGTAGTTGATATTTCAAAAGGATTCATTTCGTTTGTTTGGGATCGTTTTGTTTGGCATCACTGTCTCTTGGACAGTGAACTAGTGAACTACTGCCAGAAATAGCAAAATACTTCTGAGCCAGTTCACTTGAAAGGTAAAAAACGACAAGCATCCAAGGTAGATGCTTTCAGAGAAATACCAGCGTAAGGCAGAGTTACAAGAGAAAGAGTTGGAACTTCAAAAGCTAGAACTGGATTTGAATGTTCGAAAACATGAGAAGGAAGCTAATGAACGAAAGCAGCTACTAAAGCAGATACAAATATACTTGAATATTTACAGTTTTTACAGTAACACTGTAACAGCGGCACTGCTTTTGAAAATAAAGCAATCAAATAAAGCAATTAAACGTTTATGAAACGTTTTGAATCACAATCAAGATAAGTACAATTATTACCTTATTTAATTTAGCATAAGTTAAATGTCCGTTACTGATTTTTAAACAAAATTAATTTTGTCAACTGATGTCTCTCACTTGGTTTTCCTTCTCCTAGAACGGTCTCGCAATGTAGCTTCCCGTATGTGAAAAGCCAAAGTGTGGAATACTTGTCAGCCGTATGTTTGATCAGTTTAACCCTATGATCATCATCCAATGCATTCAAGCCTTGATCGTGATCCACAAAAACAGTTGATAGAGAGGATTTATCAATGAAGAAATTATTGCTAACTTCTAATATCATCTTGCTTTGTAATTGATCGCTTGAACTAATTCGCCGCCCATCTTTGCTGACACAAGTTCTGAAGACAGTCTCGGCATACTTTAGCACAGAAAAGACTGATGTTGACGGATATGTCAAACCTCCTTGGTTTATGAAATGCATGAAGGCATACCCACGTTGATGATCAACTCTTGGTATTTGTGGTCAATCAACTGCGTTGATATGGGACGTGAGATGAGGCATTCTTTGCAAGCTTTGCAGGTAATTATTTTTACAAGCTTTCTCATGATAAATCCACCAATATAATATAGGATATTCTCAACAAATTCTGAATGTTTTGTCGTTTTCAACTGTTCTGCAAATATTTCTTCTGATT